ATGGTAGAATATATTGATAAAATCAAAATTGTATTATTGATATTACTTCTAAAATATAATGATAATATTTATTCTATGTTTGATGATACTTTATATAAAGATGATTGGATTTGATTCTCAGATTTTTCAATATCGATACCTGAAGTAGAATGAACTACCAGAAGAAATGCTAATACTAGAAGAAAATTATTTTTTTACTGTTTTCAATAAAATAATTTCTAGCTCTTCAATGATTTATATACTAAAGATAGTATAAACGGAAAACTTCGATCTCGAAAGAAGAAACAAGGAAGGAAGTAATCCAAGGCGTTGGATTTGCAGTCGCAAAACTTTTAGAAACCGATAATAGGTTGATTTTCTGTGTAATGAGTTCTAATACGAGTTTTTCTAAAAATCAGAAGTTTTAAAAGATTACTGCAACAGGAAAGTAAGTTAGTAAAAAAACATAGACAGCAGTAATACTTGTTATTAAATAAATTATTTGCAAGTGTAATTTTTGCTGTAAGTTTCCGTACCGCAATTTAAATACTTATTTTCAATACTTTGAAAAATAAAATATTGAAATCTTTGATAAAATTTGAATGTGTATTTTAAAAATATTTTTTTTATTCTAATTTTTCTTTTAAAATTTTAAATTTCTTTTATAGCAGTCAAATGTTTTGGAGACAAAAAAACGAAGCACATAAGCATATCAAGCCGAACTAGAATGAAGGACATCATCGAAGTTGAAATTATTTGAAGTACATAGATAAGGCTTATAATTTTAAAACTTTAGAAACTTCATTCTTTCAAAAACTGCAACTTTTGAACTTTTTGCTTCGTACCTCTGAAACGGCAGGACCTGCCTTTTGTAAAAACTAATCAGAATGCCTCTCTTCAATATAAATCGAATATTTTTGGAATGACTCAAATCGGTTGTTTCGTGCTTACAAGATTATGGAAAAAATTGTATCCAAATAGACATACCTACACACACACATACATAAAAATTTTTCTACAGTATTCCAAAATGTTCAGAAGCCCTTGAAACGTAAAGATATACAAAAAAAAATCATTGTAGATTATCACCCTTAACTAAAATATACTAATTAGTAAGTACTTACTACCAAAGTTTTATATTGTTTAGAAATTGAACAAATACAAATTCAATATTTTAAAACTAAATTATAATTTTTTTATATTACATATCATTATCGTGAATATTTTAAATGTTAAAGTATTTGTACGAGTATATGACAAAAAATGTGACCTAATGATATTTTACACAGTAGTAAAAATTTTCCACTTGTCTCATTTCTAATATTTATTTCATTTTACACTTGACATTTTGATATTAGCCAAAACACTTAACCGCCGATGAATAATTAATTCGATTCAGTCTGCAACTTTTTGAAATCTATTGGTATCAAAGAGTATTAAATTTAGAAAACCCATACTCGTAAAAGCTTCTGAATTATTAATAATGATTTTGCGAAGTCAAATGCAGAATATAGAGAATTCGGAAAACTACAGAACAAATTGATTTTATATACAATAGTATGTATTATATAAAATATAAGTTTGACAATAATTTAAAAAAATCACATAATATTTACCAAAATGAATAAGTTTCAATCGCTGCTATGAGCCAATCAAGATATATATAGTTTTGCATGGCGAAATAAAATACATAGCATAGCATAGAATTATTATAGTTATTATCAACATAAAAACTTTTTACAATAAGAGATCAATGCAAAATCTTGAACATAAAATTCCAATAATTTTTTATCATCAGTTATTATTGAATGTTAGCAAGCAGTGTGTTGACTGTTGAATCACCGTCGCAAAGTTCAAAATAAACATGATTACTTGATTATATTTATAAAAGCTTTAAGTAATTAATAACTGGCGGGTGATATTTGCCAAAAAACATTGGAGGGTGTATATATATAAAAACGTGTATAACAATATATATATTGTGCGAAGGTATTGTGTTGTGCAAAGGGAGCACGCGCTCGTGATTTGATTAAATGAGGTTCGGTCCACGAACGCGAGACCAGAATAGGTGCAGACCTACTAACAAGGATTCCCAATAGAGAAAAAATTGAAAAACTGAAAATCTATATATAGAAGAAATATTTAATTCACAACCAGCATATTGTCTTAGAAAATTATATTATTTTGATCGGCAATAAATATATGCAAAAAAAAGAATTATCTCAAGTTTGTCAATAAATTGGTCTTGACGAAAATTCGAGAAGATAATTTATGGCGAACAAAAGAAACAATCGAGGATGTTTTGCCAAGACGTAACACATCATTTAATATCACTTTCAAGCGAAAAGAAAACTATACTGGACCCATACTAAGTAAAGTAAGTCTGCTGTACGACTATATTGCAAAAAATAGAAAAATTCAATATATTAGGGAAAACCAAAATGCAGATAATTGACAAATCATGCCAAAAAACAGAGTATTGAAAATCGCAACACAAAATTCATAACAAAAAAGCAAACATTTAAAACGACATCACGTCATAGTTCGTTTATATTATGTTTGTATTACTGTTATTGTAATCGTCCAAAAATAAAAATTGAAAATTTTTGCATTTCTTCACGCTTCGAAGGTTTCTGAACATTTTGGCATATTTCAGAAAAATAGATGTGTGTGAATGTATGTGTGTATGTATGTATGGATACAATTTTTTGTTCACATTTTCGTGCTCACGGATCAACCGACTTGAATGGTTCAAAAAACATTCGATTCCTAGTGATAGGGAGATGCGCTGATTAGTTTTTGGCAAAGGCTGGTCCAGCAGTTTCGGAGATACGGAGAAAAGAGTGCAAAAAATTGCAGTTTTTGAGAGAAATAAGCGTCCGATTTGAATTATTAAAAAAACTTTCTGCTTGTTTTAACAAAATAATTGATTTTGGAAAAAAATTGTTTCAAATTTATTTTTCTGTATATCAAATTTGTTTGTATTTCGAAAATAATTCAGATATTAATTTTAATTCTGGTATAATTTACTTTAAAAAAATAATTTCAACTTTGCAATTCAGTTTATATTTCTTATATATATTAGGGAATGTTACAATATTTATAAAAATCTATATGAAAACATTTAATATTCCTCTATCATTTCGTTACGATACGGGAAATTCCAGCAATTTGCCTTAAGGCACGATACCATACATCACTATTTTAATATATATTATATATGTTATGTTTTTAATCATAGACATGTTGCAAAAATTTCAGATCTTTGCTATTATTTTTTATATGCTCTCACATTTTTATAACTATTTATTTAAGAAAAATAGAAGCCTGTTCATAAATTTTAATTTTAATCCTAATAGAACCAGATTAGCTAAAAATGTGATACAAGGATTTTGAAATAGCTAGTTATTTTTAATAAATATTTTTTAAATACAGAAAATCATCATTACCTTCTAGATTCTCAAAAAAATTGTGCAACTAAATTTACATCAAAAATATTTTAGCAATGACGTTCTTTTCATAACACTGTCGCAAAATTTAATTTCTGAAAAAAAATTAGAAGTTGCAATGTGAATTTTAAAATAATTTTGGGAACCTCAGCCCGGGGTCGCGGTGGTGGAAGCGTCGCTACCAATCTATGGGATAACAATGGACGGTTTTTGTTCGAAGGCAAACAGAAAGATCGCTTCGATAATCATGATGGGAATACATAGAGCAACGGAACTGGAAAATCAACTAACAGTATATAACTTAGGGCAAATATGGCAGAGGAGAGAGGGCCGCCGATATTTTTCCTTTCCTTGATTAGATGTACGTGAGAATAAAGACATCGGGAAGTAAAGCTCTGATTGGATATCGAATGAAAAGTTCGAGTCACGATGTTTTAAAACATAGAAACTTTGGTCTTTTAATATAACAAAGAAGCTTTATATTGAGATTAAAGATATGAATATATACAGGGTGTCCCAGAGCTTAACGTCAGATTGAAATTGATAGTATTGATCGTAACTATCATGAAAAAAAAAATAGAAAAAAAATTCATATAGTTGCTTTCCCATAACTTTCTGGTTGCAAATGTGGCATATAAGTAAAAGGAGTAGCTAATAGAATATAATCAATAGTTTACCCACTGCAAAGCACGCCGCATATAACAGTTCTTGAACTGCATTAATAGTTTTTACAAGAGCCAACCTAGCTAAAAAATGACTTTGATGCACTGTTGAATTGTCTGCCCAATCGCAACACTAACCTAAGTAGAATTGAAATCAGTTCTGATGAATTGCTCCAAGGATTGCTATCATTCGACAGTTCCATGGGATTTGGGCCAGATGAAACACCCAACTTTTTACTAACAATAAGAGAATGTTTAATTGGCTTATGCAAACCTTTATTTAATTAAACCTTTAAATGCAAACTATGAATAAATAAAACCTCCATTTAAAAGCAAACCATTAAATTTTATTTTGAATTTTTTAAAATGTGGTGGACTTTTTAAGTAAAGCCTAGAGCTTTGGTGACTCAATGACCAGTTTTCGGTTATTGTGGTTAATTTTTAGTTTTTTGTTAATTTAAACTTCAGATCTATAATCGCAAATAATATTTCTAAGACCACAGTCAAAACTAATGCCACGATTGCTCCAAGTTTTCAAGAATTTAAACAATTTGTTAAATCATGAATTTGAAATGTTCAAAATTGCTATATCTTGAGATGCTATCATTTGAAAAAAATGTACTAAAAGTGTGTTGGCAAGTTTTATCAAAACTTGGCGCATTTAGTCAGGATGGTAAAATCGTAAAATAATTGATCATTTCATAATGACAAAAATTGAGTAAAAAATAAAAACCTAAAATAACAAAATTTGCTAATGTACTTATTTTGACTGCTTTCCCTGAACTTCTTTCAGTTGCATAAAAAATCTTGGCAATAGACCTAGCAATTTAGGATAAGTTATATAATTAATTTGGAAACTGAAAAAATATATGTACATCAAAGATTAAGAATAAATCATTTTTTTACTCACCAGCTCCAGGATGTCCCAAGGCTAATAAACAACCATCAGCTCCTTCTAGGACAGCATGAACAATATCACTTAAGGCAGTTCCACAAACATCCATCTGAAAAAAATAGATAATTTATTTATAATAAATTTCATAATATTTTGAGTACTTATTTACATATTTTAAACTCAATTAAAAAGCCTTCAGCTCATACTATATATATAAACGAATAGGATTTTCTCTAAAAACATACTACTCCAGTCAATGGAGCATTTTGCGTCTGAATTTTTTACTGTGCTCCAATTTGCATGAAATTTTGGAATTAGGTTCATATTACCCTCAAGTTTAAAAGTGAAAACAATTTGGACTCTGCTACCATCCTCTGGTGGATGACACTCCAGTTGTGTAATTTTAGTTTTTCAAAATTTATATATAGGAATAGGATTTTCTCTAGAAACATACTGACAAAAAATGATGACAATGCTTATATAGATTTTACAATCTTATTTTATTGTTGAAGTAAATAAACTAAAATATTTAATTATTTATGAATTTTAATTACTCACAAACAAACATTCAAAAACATTCAGTCAATCAAAATAAGTCTTCATTTTATACTAGTAAATAAATTCGTATATTTTAAATTGGTAACATCTGTTACTTGATTGATTTTATACAAGAAATCACTAATATTATATCCAAATAGCACCTGTTAAATTTTTACTGTACATCATTCAACTGTCAAATATTTTCTTTCTTCGCTTGAGGGTAATACAATTAAAACTTTTATTTAAATAAAAATGACAAAAATAACAGTCTACCCATAGGAAAAACCTTAGCAAGAAATGCTATCGGTTCGGTTGCCTCGTTTTATTTTCTTTCATAGATTATTTCATAATGGAACGTAAACACAGGACGAGAAAAATTTTAAGTAATTGTTTTAAGTGTTTTTCTTACAGGGGAAGAAAATGCATCGAGGTAGGTACTATTAAAATGATCGATAAATAAATGTTTTTATATTGGTAGTGATTTTGGCGAATTCGATAACCATTTTGGCCAGTATTATAACAAGCAGTATGATACCAGATTTACACTTGAGAATGAAGATCTAAAATGTAATATTAAATAAAAAAATCGGCGAAACTCATAAAACGTTGAAACAAACCCAAGTATGTTAATGTATGACAATTAGAAAGAACAACTACTTGTTTGCTGTTTTTTCTAAATACCAATCAGCAAAAATAGCAAAAATCAAATCGTAGAAAAGTTCTGTACTTTGCATTACATCAGATCTTGGTTTTACCCACATAAAATTTTATTCAGTAGACTAGTAACTCATAAACAAAGGACTATTAGACTTCACACCAAGTTTAAATTTCGTTCACATAATACATGCAAATTGAGGAAACTCTCATGTAATTTAAATTTACCCTCGAATCCTCATTATCATAATATAATATCACTTCAACATGGATCCTGTCTACCTATCTACATTAGAGAAAATACATATGTCTATTCACCAATGATTGTTCAACAAGTCAAATATACCTCCTCCTTGGTACAAGTACAAATTCTAAGTCCTTACTTACGAGAGCAAATAGCATTTCGCATGTTTTGCATGCGACACATGTTCATTCGCAGCTAGTTTACATTTGAATTTACTATATTCATATGAATCTAGACGAAGGAGACGTCTCTTTGCCACCAAGATTTACACAGACGGTGAAAATAGAAGGAAAGTTGTTAGGTAACTTACTCAATGCGAATTCCAATAATAACGACACCAAAATTTCACTTAATATCATATTTTAAATCTGTAATCACAAGTGCAAATTTGATATCATACTGCTTGATATAAAGTTGGTCAAAATAACGTAATTTTGAGAAATTTTTTTGCATACACCTTTTAAAACTTATTGTTGGATATATTTCCAGAAAAGTGTTTCAAAAGTGTGAATAACGGAATGAAACTAGTGGTCCATGGCATCGTGCCTTCAAGCAAATTGCTGGATCTTCTCGTACCAGAATTAAAAATTTGAGGGAAAAAAAGCCAATAAATATTAATAATAACAGTTTTAAATATTTTCAAACAGATAATTATAAATACTACATGTTTTGCGCTCAGATATTATACAGTGATGATATTTTGGCACAACACTTAATAATGTTTACATTAACAAGATGCCGAATGAATTCATCTGAGGTTATATTTCTTGGAATAATGTAAATGAAATATGTACATTTTTAAATAAAATTGTAAAATTAAAATTACAATTGAAAACAAATTGCTCTCCAAATTTTGAAATTTATTTGAATTTTTGAAATTAAAAATCTCGGTACGGAACCCAAAAAAAAGTAACAACATTAGCTTTCAGTTTCAAAATCTCTATAAAATATCTAATAATTTGATGTGCATATGTCTAATAATCATTTAATACCACAAAGTATAATTTTTGTTTTACTTTTTCCTCTGTAACTCCGAAACTGATGGTCCCGCCACTTCCAAAATCTAATCAGATCTTTCTTTCTTCAATATAAGCAAAATGTATTTTAAAAACTGAATATAAGCAAATTCTCTCAAAAACTGAATTATTGGCACTTTTTGCTCCGTATCTTCGAAACGGCTGGACCAGCTTTTGCCAAAAACTAATCAGCACGTCCCTTATCAGAAAAATTCAAATGCTTTTTGAATTATTCAAATTGGTTGATCCGTGTTCACGAAATCGTCGATGAAAATTTGTATCCGCCCACACAGATACATCCATTCTTTCAGAAACCTCTAAATCGTAAAAATATATAAACATTTTCATTTTCCATTTTTTGCGATTTTTATAACTTACTACAATTATTATAACTTTTATTATTCGTGATAAATAAATCAGCGCGTCTCCCCGTCAATACGAATCGAATGGTGTTTGAATTAATCTGATCAGTTGATTTGTGCTCACAAAATCATGAACAACTAGTGGGGTGTATCCTGTCTTAAGGAAAATTGCTGGAACTTCCCATACCGTAAATGTTCGGGGAATATTAAATGTTTACAAATAGATTATTATAAATACCGAATTATTTGTTTAATATTTATTTATAATTATATAAACTGAATTACAAAGTTGAAATTATTTATTTAAAATATATAAGTGTACTTTAAAACTTCAGCCAGAATTAAAATTGATATCTGAATTATTTTCAATATACAAAAAAAAAAATTGTCAATTTTTTTTCCAAAAGCAATTGTTTTGTCAGCACAAGCAGAAAGTTTTTTGAATCATTCAATTCGGACGGTTAGTTCCCGCAAAAACTTCCATTTTTACACATTTAGCTCTGTATATTCGAAATGGCTGGGCCTGCCTTTGCCAAAACTAATAACAATTTCTCCCAATCATTGCTAATGGATTCTTTTTTAGATCATTCAAATCGGGCGCTCCGTTATCTTAAAAACTCGATTTCTATTTTCTGCACTCTTTGCTCTTTATCTCCGCAACGGCTGGAGATAAAGAGCTGCCTTTGCAAAAAACTAATCAGCACATCTCCCTATCAATAGGAATCTAATGTTTTTTGAACTATTCAAATTGGTTGATCCGTGCGCCCGAAAACGTAGACGAAAAAATACGGACATACAAAACACACACACACACACACATACACATCCATTTTTTCTGAGGTATGCCATAATGTTCAGACCTTCAAAACGTGGAGAAATGCAAAATTTTTCAATTTCGATTTTTGGACGATTACAATAACTTACCCTACGGAAAGTTAATAATATTAAGACACAAAACCATGCACAACTAGTTGAAATAATTTCCAAAATTTTATTGTGGCAATTTAATTACAATATCCAAATCTCCATCGCCTAAATTCAATTATCCTTTACAACCTCGTATAACATTTTAATGAAAAACAGTTTGATGGCTAAAAATGTAAAATCCGGGATGTAAAATACGTGCCGAGTACATTAAACATGAACAGCTAAAATATACAATAAACACGAGGCGTACATAAATCTTTTTCCCGGGTAGGTGCGAAAAAATAATTTAGCAAAAGACAAAACTGTGTTTGACAGATAACGCGAATGAGATGGGCTTTCTACTAAAAGAATTTTCACCGAAAAAAAAACATAATAAAATGCTATGTACATAATGCAAGGTATAGGCGTAATTATATCCGTGTTGTGACAACGGTATCTTTATTACATTTTGAGAAATGGCTTTGGAAAGGAAATATGGTAATGGGGTAAAAAATGATGAATTAAGTTAATGAAATGTAAGTGTATTATGCATGTATGTTTTAAAGACACAGAATTTGAATTAGGTGGGTAAAAAATATTTTTGTCAAAATCCAGGGGATTTTAATGAAATCCACAGCAAAGCGTTGTTGGATATGTTAGTATAAGAATAATAATAATAAATAGTCTAAATAGCCCAAAGGCAGGTTCATGGTATAAAGATCACCACAAATCAAAAATTCCTTTTCCCTTGTTATATATGTATATGTATAACAGACACAAACAGATAAATCTTTTTTTTTTTACTTCAAAAAATTATATTAAACATTTTTTAAAATTTTAGAATCAATTTTTCTTTAATTTTAATAAAGCGGAATTAAAAAATGCATACAAATCTAAATTTCGCCCTCCTTCCACAAATCTCTATTTCATAATTTGAGTAATCAAATAATTTTTCACCATGCTTTAAGTCAGTGAGTCAATATTTATACTAGAGTTTTTTTGCTTAAAACAAAACGTTTGTCGGGTCAGAGAGTATATATATATATATATATATATATATATATATATATATATATATGTGTACATATATATATACTAGATGACCCGACAGACGTTGCCCTGTACCCACGTATCCTATACTTTTCAATATCCTATTTGATGTCAAGTCTTTGTGATTCATTTATAGTCTTAGCATAAGCAGTATAAAAAAATGAGAAAAAAATAATATACTATCTGCGGTAAAAGAACAATATCACACTTTTTTTACCACAAAACATAATTACCTCAATAATTTAGTCTATAATTTTTATAATCTCGTACGATATATTGGCAATTACAATTTCTAAAGTACATTTTTCTTACTAATGATTTAATAAACATTATTGTT